TGTGTGTAGGACACAGTATGGGAAGGCAGAGCCCATCCCTCTCTTTCCACCGTCTTCTACCTCCCCAACCGAAGTGAAGTACCCATTGTACACGTAGAGGTGGAGTGAGAAAAGTTGTGTAAGGCCACACCAATTTAATTTCTTGGTTAATGGATTTTTCTAGAAAAATAATGGAGCGGGCGGGCGAAAGAATAAAAATAAAAACAGGCCTAGGCATCCTATTATGGCCCAAAATGACAAACAATGAATTTTTAACTTTTAATGATACCATTGCATTGAAAGATGAAATAACAGTAACAACTTGGAAGGAAAAGACTGTTTTCAACTGTTCAGGGCAAAATATGAGCATTTTGCAGTGGATTCTGAAATTTTCATTTTTATTTGAAAATCAAAAAAAAAATGAGGCGGGGGAATCCGTTAACCAAGAAATTAAATTGGTGTGGCCTAAAGTGACTTTTTTTCTTACCTGAAATCTAAGCTCTAATAACGTTTAACATGTTAAACCCAAGAAAGTCAACCCAAGAATGAGACATTTACTTCTTTAATTTCCTTGACGTATGATAAATAATATAATTATTCCACCAGGCTACTGCATATGATGTGAAGTGAACCCCATTTACAGTTTGGTAACTTCTCTAGATTTCTTACAATGGGGTCATCCATTTACCAAACTACATGCAAAACTTTCCACAAAATAAAACAAAAGATCCCAGCTCACAATACATAAAACTTGATGTCAAATTCTTCAAGGCATTTAGCCGATCGCAGATATCAGCATGCTATAGGATAAGTTTGATTCAACTTATTAGGCCACACCAATTCAATTTCTTGGTTAACGGATTTTTTTTTAGAAAAATAATGGAGTGGGGGCAGGGAAAAAAATAAAAACAGGCCTAGGTATCCTATTATGGCCCAAAGTGGTACAATAGGAGCCATGAAGTTAACACACCAGGCTGGTTTAAAATTTAAACAATGAATTTTGAACTTTTAATGATACCACTGCATTGAAAGATGGAATAACTGTAACAACTAGGAAGAAAAGGACTGTTAACAACTGTTCAGGGCATTTTGCAGTTGATTCTGAATTTTTATTTTTTTTTTTGCCAATCAGAAAAAAATGAAGCAGGCAAATCCGTTAACCAAGAAATTAAATTGGTGTGGCCTTACATTAAAATGATGACCAGAAAATTAACATTGAAAATCCAGTTTTGCTGCCCTGAAATGTTTGTAATGTTTGTAATGTTATCTGGAGCCATAAGAAAACAAAAATCACTCTATGCAACCCTCACCATAACAATCTGTATAATGTATTTGTAACAATAGATACTGCATAATAAGTCGGTTTCTTTCCACCACCTCACAACTTCTCAACTTTACATCTGGGTTACAATATGTTACAACAAATTTTGTATCACTCTCATATGTCACAGTTGTATATCAATGTTTTTATGCTTGAGGCCACACAAATTTAATTTCTTGGTTAACGGATTCGCCTGCTTCATTTTTTTCTGATTTGCAAATAAAAATAAAAATTCAGAATCAACTGCAAAATGCTCATTTTTTGCCCTGAACAGTTGAAAACAGTCCTTTTCTTCATAGTTGTTACAGTTATTCCATCTATCAATGCAATGGTATCATTATTCAAAATTTATTGTTTAAATTTTGAACCAGCCTGGTGTGTTAACTTCATGGCTCCTATCGTACCATTTTGGGCCATAATAGGATGTCTAGGCCTGTTTTTATTTTTTTGCCCGCCCGCTCCATTATTTTTCTACAAAAAAAACCTTAACCCAGAAATTAAATTGGTGTGGCCTGAAGAAGTCACAAAACAGAGTTGAAAGCAGACAACTTTTTATAGGAAGTGGAAAAGTCCCTTTTCCATACTGAAAATCCTTTCTCATCTTGTCATATACATGTAGAATTGCACTGCTAGCAACATTATCAATACTTTTGGCCTTGTTAGTCATATAAGACTGTAATACAATTAAGTTACACACAGCACATAAACATCTTAGATCAGAAGTGGCAAGGTATAGAACATTGTAGAACAAGGGCATTTCAAATCCTACTATGACATAGTATGACAAAACTATATCAACTAGAGAAGTAACATTTGCAAAGCAAATGCATAATGTTTACCTTCGGACATGGTCTGCCCTGTTAATTTTTATTCAAACACATTCACATACAGGTACTACAAGTATATGGTGTCAGACAAGAGTAAAGCAGACCATGAAATTGCAACATTATGTAACCCAACACCAGTCACCATGGTGACAGACGTCAACAAATCATGTCATTGGCCAGGTCAGAGGTTAGTGTTTGGAACAGAAGAGGAAGAAACTAAGTAAAAACAATGTTTTCCTTTGGTAAACATAATTAAGTTATGTAGCATTACAGCAGGTTTCAGCTGAGTACCAATAGTTTTAAAATGCCTCTTGTTCTACTATATTGTACAATTTTTTGCCATATATATCTTAAATACACAGGGAAGGGGGATATTTTGAACAGAAACTTATTTTGCACATTCTATTTTTCACTCTTTTCAGCAAAAGTGGCAGATTTTAGCAATACGTGACACAAGAGAAAATTAGACATTGACTAGTGCAGAGTGGTAACCTCTAAGTACTGAATAGCAACGTTCTTTATTCACATTCCATGTGTTTAACAAGAGACAATGTTTCAATGGCCGTCTGTAGTGATGCATACCTAAACTCAATTTTAGGTTCAGGTCCGGATTCAAGTCCAGAGGTTTAGGTTCAGTTCCGGACTTGTAAGTCCGGACCCAAGCCCTGGACATATACAAAACTGCATGTTGGCAACCTTGCAATGTTGTCTGGGTGAAACTTTGGCCACATAACATGGAGGCCAGTACTTGACGATGCCCGATGGCAATGTTTTCTTCATTTTGTAGCAAAGATTTTGTAATCTACGGAAGGTTTTAGGTGGTTTGGAAAGAAAAGGGGTATGTGAAATTGTCTTTTATGGTAATAAGTCCGGACTCAGTTCTTGACTTTTAGGTTTTTTTTGGACTTGAACCTAAACATTCTTACAAGTCCGGATCCAAGTCCAGTGAACCGGTATGCAGCACTAGCCGTCTGTCATCTTCATCAGGACAATAGAAATGTTGTTTCATGTTAGGCTACATCAATTTAATTTGTTGCTTCTCGGATTCGCCTCTTCATTTTCTTGTGTGATTTGCAAAAAAAAAAATTCTGGGTCGAAATCAACTCAAAAATGCTCATATTTTGCCCCCAACAGTGAAGGAAAGTCCTTTTCATCCTAGTTGTTACAGTTATTCCATGCAGTGGTTCGAAATTCATAGTTCAAATATTAACCCGGCCTTTTGTGTTGACTTCATGGCTCCTATCGTAGCATTTGGGGCTATCGTAGGATGCCTAGACCTGTTTTTATTTTTTATTTTTTCCGCCCTGTCGCTTCACATATTTTCTGAAAAAATCCGAGAACCAACAAATTAAATTGGTGAGGCCTTAAACAAGTGGTGGTGAATAAAGAATGCTGCTATTCAATCATTCACCAACCTGATGAAATTAGGCCACACCAATATAATTTGTTGGTTCTCGGATTTTTTCAGAAAAAATATGAAGCGACAGGGCGAAAAAAAATAAAAATAAAAACAGGTCTAGGCATCCTATTATAGCTACCAAATGCTACAATATGAGCCATGAAGTCAACAAAAAAGGCTGGGTTAAAATTTAAAGTATAAATTTTGAATTTTTAATCAAACCACTGCATTGATAGATGGAAAAAACTGTAACAACTAGGAAGAAAAGGAATTTCCTCAACTGATGGGGGCAAAATATGAGCATTTTGAGTTGATTCAGAACCAGAATCTTTTTTGTTTTTTTGCAAATCAGAAAAAAATGAAGAGGCGAATCCGAGAACCAACAAATTAAATTGGTGTGGCCTTATTTACAGAAGTAACCTCTAACATAACATAAAGTCCACATGAACATAGACTATCTATAGAGTAAAAGAACTTGCATAATGTAAGAAGAATGGTTTTACAACTTTTACAATAACTAGACAAAACTATCTGAAAACAGCTGTGAAGTTTGTCTGTCTTGCTTTGACATAACATAATTGTAAACAATGTTTCATGACAAAAAAAAAACACCACAAATGCTTAAATTCTAAAGCCAGGGGCTACAAAATATTAATTTCAATGACATCGATTCTGCCCTTTTTTTGCTGACTTTCTTTCTCTAATTTTTTTGCAATGACTAACATTCTACTCTTATTTTGACTTAAACACAATGACACAGAAACAAAGTGTTGCCTAATGTCTAGTAAGTCTACAGTTACTGGAGTCCCAAGAATAGAACATGATCTAATCATTTATATTTTGTAGATAATAGCATGAAAGTTCATCTGAGTTGGTAGTTACATGTTGCAAGTTAAAACTTTTGTTTCAACACAAGGAGTTGTTCTCACCTAGAGCTTTCGACCAGTCACTCTGGTCTTCTTCAAATTCAATAGACTGACCCAATGAGACATTCTTTACCAGATACCTTAGACCCAGTGTTGACGTCACACTTCAGAGAAGCCGTGTGACAAGTCTCACTGGGTCAGTCTATTAAAGAAGACCGGAGTGACTGGTCGAAAGCTCTAAGTGAGGACAATCTTTTGTGTTGGAACAAAATTTTTAACTTAAAACTTCAGTAAGTAAGGCCACGCCAATTTAATTTGTTGGTTCTCGGATTCGCCTCTTCATTTTTTCTGATTTGCAAAAAAACAAAGAAGATTCTGGTTCTGAATCAGCTCAAAAATGCTTATATTTTGCCCCCAACCGTTGAGGAAAGTCTTTTTCTTCCTAGTTGTTACAGTTCTTCAATGTAATGCAGTGGTTTGATTAAAAGTTCAAAATTCATTGTTTAGATATTAACCCAGCCTTTTGTGTTGACTTCATGGCTCCTATCATTGGATTTTGGGCTATAATAGTATGCCTAGACATATTTCTTTTTTTTTTTTGCTTCATATTTTTTCTGAAAAAATCCGAGAAAGAATAAATTAAATTGGTGTGGCCTAATGTTAATAAATACCAATGCAATGTACAATAGGTAGTTAGTGTATTGTGCTATATTTGAGTGACTTCCCAAAGCTGCTCTGTTTTAAGATTAACTCCTTGTGCTGAAGTATATAGTGAGAGCAATGACTAGGATAATAACTGCAATGACCACGAACAGCACTATTCGATTCTGGATTATTCTGAAAAAAAAAAGAAAGAACAAGACTGTAATAATAGTTATTGCACATACAAAAATGCATATTAATCATAACAAATCAAACCTTCAATCCTTATAAAGTGTCTTTTACTAAAGAAAGATAGTCAGTCAACTTGCCAAAGTGACTACCTCTCAGAGGGCTTGAAATTAAAGGTGGTGCAATGGCCACTGACCACTAAAATTAAGGCTGGGACAACTAAAAGACACTTTGGGACATTTTGGGGACAATAGAAAAATAATCAACATCAGAATGTCAGCCATCCTTTTTGGATTCGGAAAAGTTCCTCTAAATTCCCTGTCTACACTGCAATTATAGTGCGCCTGGGAGTGAACATAAGCAAAATAAAGTTGACGTCATACAATACTTCTCCCCAAAAAACAGGTTGGGACAGTTCATCCTCACGTCGAAATAATAGAAATTTATTTTTGGGACAGTGCTGGGGCAATAGGAAGAAAAATTAATTTCGAGGCCTGCCTCTGTAATGAATACATGTAGTAGGGAAAAATAATCATGCACTTTTCCTTGGTGGTCATCTTGGACAAGTTTAACTATAGTCATGACAGGTGGCTCAAACTATTATGTGTGTCAATCTACAACATTACTCGAATGGTTTTCCAATATTTTTTTTGCAATTTAGGCCACATCATCTTAATTTTATGAATGACATCCTCTGAAGACCCCCAAACTAGTGCGCGCGGGTGAAATAAAAAGAAAAAATTCCAGCCAAAAATAAAAATGCTACTAAACCACAGGAAGACAAAGCTGGCATTGTGAATTTGCGGCAGTGCTTAGCGACATATACAACAAGCCAACATGCCGGCTTTTTGCAGAATTTATGAATCGGCACTGTACGTATGTACTGAGTTCTTGAGTCGTGGAGCTTCAGTAGCCTGGGTGCCCGGCTCCGTATTGTCGCTAACTACCATGGACTACCCAGGCTTAGAGTTGTTGTTGAGAACAGGCGAAAATCAATGCGCGCGCAGATGTTATCCATAAAATTAAGTCGGTGTGGCCTTACGGCATATACTTGCTCAATTTACATCTGCTCTGTAGAATTTTCAGACACTGAAACTACAAGGTGCACAGACACAGAAACTACGAGGTTTGCTTACCTACCTTCTCATCATAGCTGACAGGATACGTGAACTCTTTCCCAGGTCACTGTCAGTCTCCCGCAACTACAAACATCACAGAACAGAAAAACTTTCAATATACACCAGTAGAGTAGCAAGGTAGTCCAGTGGTTAGCGATCCTGCCTCTGGACTAAGAGGTTGGGAGTTTGAATCCCGGCTATTGTCGCTCACCCGACATGCACGCTACTGTTTAGGGTCGCAGTCCTTTGGACGGGACGTTAAGCTGTGGTCCACTGTTCATTATGCTTGTCGAAAAGAGCTAGGGGAATTTCCCCGGTACAATGAACCTGTAAATACTGTACATAGCGTCTGTCTTCTCTGACCAGTGGAAGATTAGCTCTTCAATGAGCTAAACTGGTTCAAGATCACTTTTTCACTAGTCCCAAAATGTTACAAGTACATTCTAGATAATAAGCAAACTTATTTCTTAGTTTCAAGAACGCTTGATTTGACTATAGTATATGGATGAAATCCTCTGGAAACCCCAAAACTGATGCGAGCACGCGAATTCAAAGTCACAAAAAAAAAGTTTGGCAAAAATAAAAACTGGTAAAACTTGACTTCTACATGGCCATGAATGTTGAACAAATGACTAAACACACTGAGTATGGTGTGGTGGATAATAGACTCATTTTCATTTCTTCACATTTTCTTCGGAGTTGAGTTTGTCTTTCTACAACAATAGTATCGTTTTCCAATATTTTCTTTTTGCAATATACGGCATATATTTGCTCATTTTGCAGCTGCTTTGTACAATTTACAGTATGGTCAAAAACTTTTTGGAAAAGGCTTAAAATTAAGGGCTCGAAATACTGAGTGAATGTGCACCTAAGTGCACCCAAAATTGGAGTTGTGCATCCAATTTTTTTCTGTGGGTGCACTGGTGCACCCAAATATTTTTGTAGGTATTTTTAACATTAGAAATGTAAAATAGTATGCCAGACATTCTTGGTCTCTAAGTATCAGAAAAATATTAAAATCTTTGTTGTAATACTTGTTAAAGATTTTGAAGTTAGCTCTCATTTTAGATTCGAGCTCAGAAGAGGAGCAGTAAGACCTGCAATTAGGTTTTGTTTCATGTGGTGCACCCAAACATTTTTGTGCACCTAATTTTTCAGGTTGGGTGCACCAGTGCACCTATTCCCAAAAATGAATTTTGAGCCCTGAAATTCATGCGCACTGATGTCATCCACATAATCAAATCAACTTGGCCAAAGGTTTGTTATAGAACAGCCCGACAACTCACCCTATCTCTGGACCTCTGGATCTTCTCTCTGTCCTGATGAAGGTTTTCTAAAATGTCCGCTCCAACTTGTTCTGTGGGAAACGATTTTCACAACAAAAAAAGCAGTAAGTACTTCTCACCGCTATCATTCAAGAAGCTAAGAAAAAACATTGAAATGCTGAAGCTATGATGAAGGTGTCTGATACTGTAATTCCCTTTATGCTTATGCTATGGTTGCAAAATTTCACGGTCTGAAAAAAAGTGGACATGTTCACGGTGGCGACAGGTGCAGGAAAAAGAAAGTCCAGCAATTATTTATTAACTGTAATGATAAGTTCACGGTACAGAAGTGACAGTGAAAACAGTAAACATAAAAGTACCATGAAAAAGTTAGGAATTACAGTATTCATCAAAATACAAGCAGATGAGAGTTATTACCAGTTGTGCAAAAAACAAAACCCCAACATCCCATGTTTTAGTTACCAACCAGATAAAATTATTTGAGAAAGAAGAACCATACCAGTTTCCACTGCCATCCTGTACCCTGCCTCCAGTTTTCTCCCTGACCTCTCCAGCCTTTCTGTGTTGTCTAACAGTCGGGTTCTCTGCAAAGGCAAACGTTGGAGGAAACATTCTTACTCTGAGGTTTCAGAGTTCAGGGCTTGATATACTGGATGCATATGTAGGGTAGTGCAGGTAAAATTGGAGCTGTGCAGGTATTTCTGATGTCTACCTGCACCTAACCTGCACTGGTCCATGTACTGGGTATATGCAGGTTAGTGCAGGTAAAATTGGAGCTGTGCAGGTATTTCTGATGTCTACCTGCAGCTAACCTGCACTGGTCCATGTACTGGGTATATGCAGGTTAGTGCACGTAAAATTGGAGCTGTGCAGGTATATTTCTGATGTCTACCTGCACCTAACCTGCACTGGTCCATGTACTGGGTATATGCAGGTTAGTGCACGTAAAATTGGAGCTGTGCAGGTATATTTCTGATGTCTACCTGTACCTAACCTGCACTGGTCCATCATGGCAAATACAGGTAGTAGGTTTATGCATACATGTAGGTGGAATTTTTACCCCTTGCTGCTATGCATCCTGGGAATTCGAAAACAGTGAATATTACCTGGTCCTCTGAGTGGGATGGGTCGTCTGGCCCCAGCAGTTCTTCTCTACTGCCTGATGCTCCGTGTAGTTTGGCCTTCTTCTGAGCAAAACATACACCAACACATTCAGGCACTACGAAATTCCTACACAGGACAGCCTATCAAATGTATTGCACCTGTCAGTGTAAAGACCTAAAGCCCCGGTCACAACCTGCCGTACGTGCTTTTTGTCCGTACGTTTTTCTGGGAGGCCACGTCTTCTACGTTTTTCTGAAAACGTGGGGAAGGAGTGGCGTCTATGCACGTCACTCGCACAGTTGCGCCAGGTGTAAGAGTGTGGTCTGCACGCCACGTCTATCCGTGAGCGATTGCATGCATCGTTTGTTGCACGAGTGGGGAGTTGTACGTGCTTACAACGTACGATTTCTGTGCAATTGCAACTTTACCGTAAGGAGGTCATACTCACATGTGCTTCTTACGTATGGTACATATGGGGCACGCACGTCACCCGCACTCGCACGTACAGGTGGTGAATCCGCAGACCGCACGCAGAAAAAGTTTTACATGCACTTAAAGTTCTACGGCGAGTCTGCGTGCTCCCAAATCCGTAGGATTCCGTACGGAGGTGGTACTCACCACGCACGGATGCCCTACGTTTGCCCACGTTTTTGCACGCAGAAGCACGTACGGCGGGCTGTGACCATGGCTTTAGGGGAGGGGGTACCACAATACTGGTGATATTTTGTAAGAGTGCAACCAACAGTCACATCTCCATATACCTCCATAAGCAAAAAAAATCAACAAATTCTACTGTGTAAAAAGTTTGTACAGAAAGAAAAAACTGGATAATGCCATCTTATTTATGTCAATTGGTCAAGGGATGGATGCATCTCAAAAGAAATAGTGTCAACATACTTACTAGATTTAGACAAGCAGCAAAGGAGGCAATAAACAAGTTGAGAACATTATTAAACAGAAAGAAAACTATGTCAAGAGTATCTAGATGAAATTATAACAGTGGGGTCTATGAAAAAACAGCATATTTTTGTCTCTTTTACCAGCCTGCTATGACTACTTTAACACTGAATTTCGCAGATGTTAATCAAATCAATATTGCCTTAGACGTCAATAAAAGTTCATGTGCAAAACTTTCTTTCAGGAAAGTGATAAAAAGCATGGATAGTACAAATGTACTTGTATATTGTACACTTAATTTGATTTTCTTCCAACACATGCCACCATCTAATACATGTACTAGCAAGCACTCTACCAGAACTATTACCAAGCTGCATATGTATTGCAACAAAAATATCATCTTATTTGTCTAAGGCCACACCAATTTAATTTGTTTTTTCTCGGATTCGCCCTCTCATTTTTTTCTGATTTGGAAAAAAAAAAAATTGGGGGTTCTAAATCAACTGTAAAATGCTTAATGAAAGACATATTTTGGCCCCAACGGTTGAAGAAAGTCCTTTTCTTCCTAGTTGTTAAAGTTTTTCAATGTAACAGTGCAACTTTGTTTCATTAAAAGTTCAAAATCTATTGTTTTAATTATAAACCAGCCTGGTATGTTCTTTTCATGGCTCATATTGTAACATTTCTGGCTATCATGGGGGTGCCTTGGCCTGTTCTTTTTTTTTTTGCCCTGTCGCTCCATATTTTACCTGAAAAAATCTGAGAAACAACAAATTAAATTGGTGTGGCCTAACAAAGAAAGCTTCTGAAATATGTTTGCCAAAGCCTTATAAAAATGCATGGTGAAGTGAAGAGAAGAGACCCCAGTATAACATATTCTTACAAAGTCCTTCTCGAGCTTGCCCAGCTCTGTCTTGTAGCTCTTTAGTCTTGTGGCGTACTTCTGTCTCTCCTTGGAAGGAATGTCTCGAACCTCCAGGTCCATCTGTTCTAACTACACAGCACAAGACAAGAAGAGGAAGAAAATTAAAAACTGCCTTGTAGGCAGGTTCTTTACTACCATAGTATTCACAACCATTTTACAAGAGCCAATGTTTTGGTAACCGTCTGTCATCTTCATCAGTGCAATTATACCTGAGGGCCTGCATGGGGGTAGCGATTACCAATTACACAAAATTTTCGCCGCCGATTACAAATTACGTTGAAGTCTCAGAGCTGATTACGACTTTACAATTTGCGGCTAATGTCCTATTACGAATTATGTTGATTTTTGCGGAGGCTGCCTACGAATTACGAAGTCTAAAAAGGCCTGATTACGCCTTACGAAAAAGGTCCTCATAACTGGTTCACTGTGCACTGAGGCTAGATGTTACTGGACAGTGGTTCACTATACACTGAAGCTAGGTGTTACTGGTGTGCACTGAAGCTAGGTGTTACTGGTTCACTGTGCACTGAAGCTAGGTGTTACTGGTTCACTGTGCACTGAAGCTAGGTGTTACTGGTTCACTGTGCACTGAAGCTAGGTGTTACTGGTTCACTGTGCACTGAAGCTAGGTGTTACTGGTTCACTGTGCACTGAAGCTAGGTGTTACTGGTTCACTGTGCACTGAAGCTAGGTGTTGCAGTTGTTGCTAGTTACCTACTAGTAGCTTCAGTAGACAGTGAACCAGTCATAATTGCCCTGATGAAGATGACTGGCAGTCAGCTATTGGTGCATGTGTTCTGAATAAATAAACTTTGCTATATTCAATCATTCACCAACTTGATGAAATCAATTATGGATTAGTTTTATCCCTTGACAAATCAAAAATGTTTCAAGAAATGTAGTTGCAAGAAATTGAAGTTATATACCAGTTCTTTTGCCTCTTCCATCTGTTTTTCCACATTGGTGACCATGTGTCTCTTTTCACCTGTACACCACAGAAAAAAGACATTAGTATGCCAGCTTTCCCCCCTCTTCCCCAGTAATATAGCACCTGTTTGCTGTCAATGCTGGCAATGCAATATTCTTAACTGAATGATTCCTAGGGACTACTCTCACAAAAGATGGACATTTCGCTCTGCTTTAAAATAACAATGAAATGAAAGACAGCATTATTCACATGTCGTGACAACAAGTCATCAATATTCATACAGTATGCCTGAACTTTACTGTTTTGATAGCTCTGTTTACTCTTGTTTTGCACATAACCCAACAACAACAACGGGGTTTACAGAAAGGTACCATGTAAAGAGGACACGCCCCTTATTTTGGATCTGACCTAAAAAAAATTATCATGTGTAATAATTTTACTAAAATGAAAAATTCTACATCCTTAGCTGTCAGAATACTTTCAAGTGATATCAAAAGGAAAATGGCTAGTAAATATGCTTATATCGTTCTACTATGATAACGTACTAATATATAAACCGCGGATGAAGTTAAAACAATTTGTATCGGCTATTTGGAGCATACAGGATCAATATTTTGACAGCTCATCCCACACACAAACGTGGTCAGCTTTCGCAATTTCAAACCTCATACAAACCAGGAAAATACCCCTACAGAAAGCGCAAAACATCATTTTGGCATAGTTCAACTATTCCTCTAACACTTACCGCCGGATAATTTGGCAATTTTGGCGATTTTGTTGGTAATTTCGGCGGTGACATTGCTGTATTGCTGCTCGTAAGAATCCAGGAGAGAAGCCATCTTGTTTTTCCTTCCACACTGACTAAGGTGGCCGTATATCTAAAATGTAGTGCCTGATAAATAGTACACAAAATTTTACAGTAAAGGGTACATGAAAAATATACCGGCATTTGTAAATAAATAATAATGATATTCGTATGATATATGATTTATAAAATATGATTAAGATCCTTATTGTGTTCAAATAAAACCAATCAAGACCGCTATTTTATCAGGCATCAAAATTCTTACCTTTACACAGCTGCCAAGTAATTCGCAAAATTACCCACTATGCTTTGCTCTTCCTTTCGCCATTTTGCACTGAAAGGTGAAGTATCCATATTTGAACTAACATTTAAAATCCGCCGCAATCTGACAATTTTTCCTTATTTTTATGCCATAAACGTAATAAAATGTGTTTATGAGATATTGAAGTTTCTGTTAGCGTTGATTTTAGATGTTGTTTTGACGCAGATGTTGTTTTTTACGCCCAGGTTTCCACCATGGTGCAGCGGCTGACATACAGGCGGCGACTGTCGTACAACACTAAGTCGAACCGCAGGCGCATGTAAGTCGTTATCATCATAAATTTATCATAAATTTATTATTTACACTGGCAAACACATTTTCTGATATTTCTCACTATATTTAGGCATTGTTTTGACGATTTTTGAGGTAAGTTTCTCCGTCTAACTCCGTATTTTCTCGTCTCTCTGACATGCCCCCCTCCCCACTTGCCTGTGATGTGGTGTGATCAGTTCGAAGACTCCAGGTAAGATTCTTGTACATAACTTTATATCCAAGGAGCTGTAGAATATTATTATAAGTTCCTTGTAAATATAATAAAATAGGCCCTAAGTTGTGAATAATGAAATCTTGTTTTGGAGCTACTAGTATCTCAAATGCTTCAAATATGAAATGATGTCGAAAATGAGCAAAGAATTAAGAAATGGCAGTAAAATTATATGGCAATATCAGACAGATTTCCTCATGTACAATGTAGAATATTTTTTTTATTTGTTTTGCTGCCCTAAACATTCATGTCTTTAACAGGTAAACAAAGTAAATTAAAAGTATTATTACATTCATTAAGTATTAAAAAATCAATCGTAGGAAAGTCATGCAAAGAAATAAGAAACAGATAGTGATAATGATTTGTGCTATAATTAATTACATGTATGAGTTCTGTGGCAAATGGACCCATATTAAACGCACTCTCTCCTGTTAGGTGGGAAACTGGTCTATCTGTACACCAAGAAGAAGGGCAGTGTTCCAGTATGTGGGGACTGTAAGGTCAAGCTGTTTGGGGTAAGTTCTAATTCCTCCATCTTAGGACACAAGACAGTTATACATAACGAAGCAAGTTTATACTGTAATGTCCAACGCAAAAAAATGGACTCACCCAAATTTTTGACTGTACAACTCCAGTCTTTGTCAAGGAATGAACAATCCACCGCTTCCGTGACGTCACGCAGATAACACACGTGACTCCCGTGAGCAGTGGATCATAGGTTGCAGAGAGTCTGTGGCGCCGGGCCCCCGTCTCTGTTGACATTACAGTTTAAACTTGCTTCATAATGACTTCTACCAACACAGATGAACTTTCAAGATACAGTTACACATAATTTGGTTTCTGGGCATCAACCTTGATCAACAAAATTGTGAAAAGCCAAGGGTATAAATATGAAAACATCCAAAGGCCCACCAAGAACCACTCTCAGCCCCATGATTTGCCCCTCAAAATGAGGGAAATTGTGTTTCTAAATAGCCTGGGAGCCATCCTAGTTGTGTACCGGGGCTTCCATACTCATAGCCCCGGCATACAAGTAGTAAAAGCACCCAGGCTAGTTTCTAAAGGCGGTTTGAAATCCAAAATTTACCCTGGAAGGAGGCCTGGCGCACCCAATTTGTATTTTGCAATCAAAAGGGTATATCACCCCGTAATGAGCAGTAACCCAAACCAATATGTACACCAACAATGATGATGATGATTAGAACGAATCTTTGCCTAACTAACACTAGTTTCTGGTAACATACCACAAGTTTCAACACAGTTTGTTTCACAAGTATAGTAAGAAATATGTTGAAAATGTTTGTAGGTGAAGGCACCCAGACCCAAGAAGCTGATGTCCATGTCCCGGAGACTGAAGCATGTCACCAGAGCTTACGGTGGATCACGCTGCTCCAAGTGTGTCAGGGAAAGGTCGGTGGAATATTTCATTTGATTCGATAGCATTTTTGCCTGATTTTGAACAAGGTTGAGTGAAAGGGTAGTGACATATTCAAGTAAGAGTCATGCTCTATTAAAGATACAATTACCAACTAAATGAATCATAATATAGTACATCTTCTTCAATCTTCCTCTGCTGAGGTGTAGCTTGTGAAGTTTTGTCTCCAGTACAGTCTGTCATTCATTGCGGACAGAAGTTCCAATCCTTGCAGTCCAGTTTTAGACTCAATGAGACCCTTAGTGTTGTGATTGGACGACCAATCCTCCTTTTTGCATATAGTACATAACTGATCAAAACTAGACAAAAATAATGAAAGGGTGAGGCATAAATCTAATGTGTCAAAACTATGTGCAGAACAACTAGGAAATTACAGTATAAATGTACAATTTTTTGTTTAGGGACACCAACTATTGGTACCTTTTGCATTGAAACGTGTGTTATTTCGGTTGGTTATGCCAAAAATGAAATACAACCTGGTGTATTCCATATCACCCTCGATCCAAGCCCTCCCACAGTTGGATCTCCCTCCTTAGGTGATACGGACAACACCGTGTAATATTTTATATGTACAAGTTGCCATCCTCGTTACACTAAGATGTCTAACTCTAAAACATGTCTGTATTCTTTCTGCAGGATTGTTCGTGCTTTCCTGATTGAGGAACAGAAGATCGTGGTGAGAGTGCTGAAGGCACAGGCTCAGTCACAGAAACCTGGCAAGGCCAAGTAAACAGGACAACAACAACATGTAGACACAATAATAAACACCACAAATAAGCCACTGTCTTTTGTGTTTTATTGAAGTGTTTGAAGCTTATAGTTACAGTCAATGTCTTTGCCTCCTGAACACTGGGCGAACTCTAGAATAGTGTTGTCAAACAAAAGGTCAATGACCTGTCACCATGGTAACTGGTGAAGTGTTGGATTACATTATGTAGCAAGTGTTGAAGAGGGTTTCTACCATATATACACGGGTGGCAAGAAGTGATACAAAGTTCATACGAATTTTACAGAATCCACACTACATACAATCCATTACTAGGAAACATACCAACTTTACGCAATACATACGATACATTACTAGTATTAGAAACACGAATTTTACGGAATACTGTACATACGATCCATTGCTAGGAAACATACGATCCTTACTAATTTGGTGACTTTTTGGCATCCCTGATATATGTACTACTTAATAGTATATGAATTTGAGCAAGGAAATTGTATATGATTTAATAGGTATGAATAAGAATAAACAAGAGCAGTAGTTCGTTGGATAAGCTAGACCATGTGAAGGTAAACATTATGCGTTTACTTTGTAAATCTTTCCTAGCCGTGTTCGATTTTAGCCGTGTCCAGGGTTTCGTTCTGCCTGTTGTACCAGTATATGATTCCCTCCTCGTGTAATGTCTGCCATATCTTCTGTTCATCCATGTGGTTGTGATATGATCCAGGGAGATCCATTTTACGAACAGTCGCGTGGTCATCAAAGTAATATAATGGAAATCTGGTAGGGACAAAACAGAAGCCATATATAAGACTGCAATGATGTTAAAGTTTATCTTTGTTTTTCAAACATATGTACAAAGCTACTATTGGATGTACCAAGGACATGTACCTAATACCAGCTCAGAAAGGAAGAAGAAATAGTCATGTCTTTAAATACAAGAGTTATCAACCAACGATTAATATGTACAAAAACTAATTCTTTCCTAGAGCTATCGCAGAGTGGAAAATAACCCCAAACCTCTGCTTGGAGAGTAAGTTATACCCGCAATTCTGACTGGTTCACATTGCACAGCACAGGTGTATAGATGCGTTGTGTAAAAAAAAGAGTCTCTTTATTCTGATCCATATACATGTATCTCAGTCTTCCCGGTAATTTTGTGATACCCATCGGCCACAGCAAGTAATTTTTATGGATGGCATCAGCGGCTCGTTCTCATTGAAATGTACAAAATGGTGATTTTTTGGGTCGAAAAATCGATAATCTGTTTTTTTAGGCAAACCTACCTTATTTTTTAGGAAAACATCTCAATTAATGATTACCAAAAAAGGACAGCTTAATTGCCATGGGTAGTTACCGAAAATTTATGCACTTAGATAAGACATATGTAAACAATGCAATTTTAGTGCGGCAAAAACGCTGGAACATCAGCATGATTTGGGTGTACGATAAAGTTTGTATTCATGACATCACCTCAAAAGCCATTAGTTCAGGCGTCAGTATCTATGAAAGTACTTCTGTCAACCCATTATTTACTGGTAAATATACACGTATCGAACACATAAAAATAGCTAAGTGTAGTGTATAGAAGTAGCAAAAATAACTTTGGAAGCAAAGAAGAGTAGAACATTTGAGTCTGTTGACGCCACAGAGGGTTATTTTTCTTCGGATTCATATTTATTTCTACTTTATTTCCAACTATTATGTTTATGGTGTATGGGGAAGGGAAATTCAATCTCTTGTTACGTCTTTTGCACTACAGGTGTAACTTCCGTTACCGGTAACGGATGTTACAAACGGACGTTTTTGTTTATTTCTCCAAGAAGACCTGCAGTTTTTAACTTCATCCTTTGAGAACAAGAGGGCATAAGTACGGACATTTTTAAACTGGGCGACTTTTTTATATACCATGTGAAGAAACTAAAATTGAAAGTAAAAACAACGGTAACGGATGTTACATTCATGACTGTAAAACAATTTGTTCAGCGAAGGTGGCTACAAAAAACAGCACACACTCTTTTCTTCTTCTCTTAGAAACCTAGAAAACTTGCTAAAAGTCATCAAAATGGCAATTTCCTGTCTTATATGTTACTCTATCTAAACTGCACGACCGTCTTACTTGAGCGGTAACGGATGTTACAAAACTTGGCGACAGGTATGAACCACCTCGCATGACGTACAAGAATAGTGCCAGGAGCGATCTGACTTGGTCAGTCAGAGTACCTGGCCATCCGACTACACCAGGCAGAAAACTACTGCCGTAATCAAATTGCTACGTTTTAGGTTGCTTTTTAAAGTTTCTATTTCGTCTCAGGCGACAGCCGCTTTTTAGAGGAAGAAATCCAATCCGCGATCATAATTTCTCTGAAGTCATCAATCAAACCTAGGTTTGTGGTACATTTTTCGTGAAACATAGTAAGTGTAGTGGGAAAGTGAAGAAAGCAACGATGAGGTCCATTATTTGGCTCATACCTAGTCGTAAATAGTGGCGACAGCATTTTGTACATTTGAATGAGAACGAGTGCAGCGCGCGCATTGATTTTCGCCTGATTTAGGAAAAAAAAACAAATTTTGTTGCCTTCTAACAGTGGTCATCATGCCCAAAATGGGCAAAGATGTCTGTTGCCATGTCAGAAGGTGGATGGCAGATAACAAAGAGAGAAGACAAGAAAAGGCTCTGATTTAATGTTTTGTTTCTTACTTTGATGCAGTGATATGTGATGCTGGCTGTGTATATGTGATGTTCCCACTGAGTAACAACCATTTGTACTACAAATTGATTGAGTCAAAATTTGAAAATATAGGAACATTGTTGTTTTCGGCCCGCCTTGTTTTTTTTCACGCGCTCACATTAGATTTGGAGTCTGCGGAGGATGTCATCCATAAAATTTACTTGCTGTGGCCTTAAACTAACTTACCTTGCGTCATAGCCAAAGCCGTACACGCTTACATGGTCGCATAGCTGCAGCGCAAGGACGGCTGTAAGGAAGCCTGTGGTTGGCCGATATGCCCGTGACGTATTGAGGAAGCGAGAGAACGCATACCGAATGAAATCCGGATGAAGTACTTTAACAGTGGTCCGGTTCACATTGGGATTCGGCGACCAATTGTACCTAAAAAATACGGGGGAAAATTGGAAGAAGGCTAATATTTAGCCTCCGTAGCAGGCTTATAGAACTGGGGGTTTGGTGGTCTTCGGCTGTTTTCTGATTAGAAAAAAACGGGGGTAATTCAATCAGGCCGGCTATGTTGTCTATATGCAATCAGAAAATAGCACATAAAAGCTCCCAAAGCTACCCTGAAGACCCCCAAAACCCCAAGTTTTTGGCATGCTATGAAATTTATGTGTTCATGAAGGTTGAACAAGTGACTAAACACATGGGCTATGGTACGGCAAATAATAGACTTCATTTTCATTTCTTCGCCTTTTTCTTTGGAACTGATTTTGGCACTATACGACATATCATGCTAGTAACGTTTTTCTGCAATTTACAGCATATATTTGAGCATTTTGCAGCTGCTTTGTGCGATTTACAGAGTGGTCGAAAACTTTATTCGTCTTTGGAAACAGACGAAAATTCATACGCGCGCGGATGTCGTCCATATAATCTATAAATCTCTGATACCAGTTCATGCGTCTCACAGGTATTCCACTAGGCAATCAGTGCACGACTACTCATTGCTCAAACCTAACAACAATAGTGGAAAGAGGATGTTTGTTTACAGATCTGTAAAGGTGTGGAACGCATTACCGAGTGAAGTTAAGACTACTGTATTAGCAGCTGATGAGAGGCAGTTCAGGAAAATGACACGTCAGCTTTATGGAACTTAAAGGCTTACCCTGACAATATTGTATATATTCGAAGCAATTTAGTAACTCACAAGTTTTATTGTTGATTTTAGTCATAATTAGTTAAATGACCTCTGGCCTCAACCTCAATTATTTTAATGTGTAATTGCAATGATTGTATGTATTCAGTGCTTGTATTTTATGTGTTGTACTGTTAATGAGCCCTGGAAGATTAGCCCCTCATGGGGCTAAAGGGCATCTCAATAAATCAAAATCAAATCAAATAATCAACTGCACTTTATACTTACACGCAGAATCCCGCCTTCCGACGACATCTCTGTACTATCGGTAGAGTCCGCCGTTCGGTCAGCCAGGCTGCCATGTAGTCTATATCAAAACTCTTAAACGGTATGAAGAGCTGCAAAGAATCCTGCAACAGTGGGGAAAGTGGGAAAGACATGGCGATTATGTTTGTTTATTTGTTATTTCATTTGAGTTATTTTTGTTATTTTATTATTGATAAGTTGTTTAATTGCTATTACATTGTATTTTATTTAATTTATGGATTGCAACATGTGGGTCAAATAATCAACTTAGTGGGGTCGTGTGGCGTAGCGGCAGAGTGCGCGACTCGGAACTTAGAGTCCCGGGTTCGAGTCCTGACATGCCACCGATCTTGTGCCATTGAGAAAGGCACTTTACACGGCTTTCCTCACTTAGCTCAGGTGTAAATGAGTATTGTCCTGTCATGTATTTGTCCCCTGTGTTGGTGGCGGCATTAATATAAGTTGAAAAAACTTGAGTGTGTCGTCACCACGTCTGGTATAAAACGTTTGGTATAAAAAAAAAAAACATGTGGGTCACAGACAGCGGTTGCTGGTATCGTGTCCTAAACCTTATTATTATTACAAAATACTACATAATAATTTTGGTGACAGTATTTTCAAATATTAAGTAGGGCGTGGTAAGAATTATCAGATTAGAATTATTCAACTTAGAACACATTTTGCAGAAGGTATTATTATGTTTTTTGGCAGAGGTATCGGGAAATGGAGATGATAATTTCCAAATGATACCTAATAGATATTTGTCAAATATGTTCTTTATTTCAACATTTACAGTGATTTTCTCAGTATCCATTGTGCTTAGATCTTCTTCGACAAAACGTCGACTTTCACATGTGTCGGTATACTTACGGATACAGCTAACCGTGGGTCATGTTCGTGTGACTCGGGGTAAAAGGTGTAGAAGGAGATTTTCCGCCCTACATCGTCCGCAAACTTTTCCTGCATGTTAGCGTGGTTAACCCTAAGGACACAGAATATGTTTATGTTTACCGAAGGAAAACATGTTTTTTTTTGCCAGTTTCTTCTTCTTCTCCAAACAGTGACCTCTGACCTGACCAATGACATGATTTGTTGACGTCTGTCACCATGGTGACTGGTGTTGGGTTACATAATGTTGCAATTTCATGGTCTGCTCTACTCCTGTCACCATATACTAGTAATACATGTATGTGAATGTGTTTGAGTGAGAATTAACAGAGCAGACCATGTCCGAAGGTAAACATTATGCATTTGCTTTGCAAACGTTACTTCTCTAGTGATATAGTAAACTTGAAAATAAAGACGCAATACCAGAAAGCCTAAACTTTCCAAGGTCAGTGTTATTTAATTACCTCTGGGACGGAAGTTTTGATTTGGGTGGCGATAATTCACGCTAGGTTTGTATGTTTGGGTTCCAAAATGAGTGGGTGGAGATTGGGTTTCAATTGATTGACAGGGTTTTACATTGCATTCAAGGATATGTGGACGTCAGGAATGTATATGAAACATATAACCATGGTGTAAAAGTGGAGTGAGTTTCATCATACAAACGTATGAATAATAATACATTTTATGCTGCACTTCATCAAAGCGAACTTTATATATTTCTCGGAAGTTTGACATCTTTGATGCCTTGTTCCTACCTGAAGACGTAGTCGTGGCCATCTATCTCCGTTCCCCTCTTCGAACCCTTCATTACCCCACCCGAGCCGACAACTGCACAGCGTATGCACCGTACTCGGCTATCATCGGTCACACTCGGGTGCTCTCGGGTCCCACTCGGGCCGAAGATTTTGGGATTTTTCAGTGCTCCGACCATCAGGTCTACAGCTACGTTGGGGAAAATACAAAAACAACGTAAATGTAGAATTGTGTGTAGAACTGTGAAAGTAAAAACAAAGAAAAAACTTCATACAATGCTGGATCAATTGAAAGTATCGTACCCTGACATGTATGGATTATTGTTTGAAATGCTAAATAAAGAATTTAACTGGTCTCTTTACGAATTATATTTTCCACTTTGGTTTAAACTTTTATCTGCTGATATGACATTTCGAGCCCTGCAACCAGATTTTTATACCAAAGGACAACATATTGTTGTTGCTCAATTTCTTCTTCTTCTGCAAACAAATTAGGTCAACGACCTGAACCAGACGTCTGTCACCATGGTAACTAGTGTTGGGTTACATTATGTTGCAATTTTATAGCAGGAGGGATTTAGACTCCTGGTCTGTCTGATCATATATATGAATGTGTTTGAGTAAGAATTAACAGAGCAGACCATATGCGAAGGTAAACATTATTCATTTGCCTTGCAAATGTTACCTTTCTAGGTAAAATTTCTAGTTTTGTTACCTGTTTTGTTTTCCTGTCTGTAGCCGAAAGGCAGTTTATAGTACGTGAGATGTTCTGTCCAGTAGGCAGGGTTGATGTCGTCCTGGTCCAGAAACAGCTTCACGTCCTCCACAAACCTGCTCCCGAACCAGGCTGACGTGTCGGCCCTCTGTCGTAGACTGGTCGGGCATTTCTGGGGGAAGGGGGGTTGGGAAGGGCCTGTCAATGTACAACACTGTCACACATAGATATATATGGCCTATATATGATGTAACGTTTAATGTTTCAAAATGTTCAGCCATGATTGGTTGGTGGTTGGTTGGCAGTAGGTCAGCAGTGTTCTGGGCATATTTGGGGGGTCAAATAGGACTCAAATTTAACTGAAATGTGAGTCGGTCTGACCAGTGCAAGGACACTTAGACACTCGGACATGCAAGTCTTTTCAAGTTGAATAGAACACAAACGTTTACAAGATGACCAGAATAGTAGTACTGCAACCGCTTACTGAAATCCTGTGTCGCGGGTCCGTGGCAAACGGCACTTCGGCTAATTCCGGCCTCACTCGCGGCGGGATCAACATGTCCAGCGCTTTGCCGTCACTCAGGTCCCCCCAGAACTCAAGCGAAGTCGAGGGTCTCCATTCGGTCATGTTCCTCTTGGCAGAGTCAAGCCTGAGTGAGTGAGCGTGGATGTGTGTGTGAAGAATTAAATCGTAACTGAGACTATGTGATGACGACATCTAAGAATGTAAAAGTAACGCTCTAATTATATTTCAGTCCATACCATGGTATGGATGAAATATATTGTGTTCCCTCATGTTTCTCCTTCTCCTTCTCCTCCTGCCAAACAGTCAAAGGGGTTCAACTCAGCCATCATTCAGCCAAATGACCTGAAATTTGGCATGGAGGTAGAGTGGGCAAATACCCCCAGACGTTTTTTTTTTTTCATTTTTTTGAATTTTTGCCTTTGAAAAATTTTTATGAAGGTTTTTTGGGGCATTTTTCGACAAAAAAATGGATTTTTGGATCCTGAGCCCTGGTATTACAACCAAATGATATGACATTCGGTATAAGGGTACCTTGAACGGGTGTCTACAGAATAGCAGTCATGTATTTGGCATACACCACTTCCAAATGACTCATTTGGGGGACTTTAATGGCTATTTTCAGCAAAAAAAGGGCCAAAAGTGCTGTACCCGTTCCATGTTCTATCTAAAGAATGGCCGGTTCCATCCATGGAACACATGTTCCATTGCGGGTTACCTGAGGTCACATTGCACCTAAGTGGTGCGTAATGACCCACACATTCAATTTTATGTGCCTAAGACCTTCAAAATGTATCAAATCTCATCATTGTTAGTTTTTGCATACCTGTAATAAGATTAGTAAAGCTTTCGAGATTCAAAGTACTTGTTCAAGTTGTTGTTGCATCTTTGTTTCTCATATAGCTACTATTTAATTCATTTATTTGAGAACCTTTGCCAGTTTTGCACTGGGGTAAGTTTGGAATAGTCCACTTTTGCATGGGAGGGAGATGGACTGAAATATGCTGTATTTGCTCCCAAGCAAATGCCGGCCTTTCTAGTTTGATCAGAATTTTTAAGATTACTAGTACCTTGATTATGTGGCTCTTATCGAAAATGATGGTATACATGACTACATACATATTCACTAGTTTTGAAAAAGGACGATATGCTAACTAACTAGGGCTCAACCATGTGCTGCAGCTGGGTTAGTATTTTTCCCGGCCGGCAATATGCATTCATATACATTTTAGAAAAACGTTTTAAGAATCTTTATCATATACATGTACTAGCCTGGATGCCATCATAGGTTGTGAGCTCCTATTAGCCTCTACCGCAGGTGTCGGGAAGCGACTGGAAAGAGTAGAAATTGACCAAATAGACATATAATATGCCAGGGGAGTTGGTCCGCTAGCGCTCCCAAACTGTTCTCTTAGCTAGCCTAGACCAGCTCCCCTTGCATACTATATGTCTCTTTGGCTGATTGCTGCTCTTTCCAGCCGCTTCCTGAAGCCTGGTAGAGGCTAAGCTGAGCCGTATACGCTAACTCGGATGGCACCCATGCAGACTGCTTACCGTACGCTAACAGGTAAAGCTCCCTTGATGATGCTCCTCCCGGCATATAGCCACAGATATAGCGACAACACGAAGACAAGACATAGCTGGATCCATCTTCGACAAAACGGGTATAACATGTACATCCGCCACATTATGGCACAAACTAGTATTTTCACGGTTTTAAACGGCGTATACAGGCTGGCGCAAGAGCGCATATCCAACAAAAGCCAAGCGTAACAGGTGGGCAATATCGAGGACGATTCAAAAGTAACTGCCGGTCAGTTTTCCCAATACTGTAGTCTGTTGGCTTGCGCCAGCTGTTTTCACCATACACACATATGCTTTATGAGAAGCTCATGAGAGGTCATGAGGGAACGGGTAAGAATAACCTCGGATAGAACATAATGTTACCATCATTTGATTTTGCAAGTCCTAATAAATCTATACACATATTTACATATACACATACGTGATATGAAATACATATAGCGATGTACTGTATAATATTATGAGAGTGGGGGCTTGTATAGGCTTATATATGGTATGGGTTATGGCCGTTAGTTTTGGTCGTTTCTGATAGCCGTCTTGAGATAAATAAATGAATAAATTTCTGTACTTTTAAGTCACGTAAATGAAAACAGAGCCGCTAGGGTCATGCGTGTGTTTGGTGGTAGACTGCAGCCTAGATCTTCTTACACGTGGTGGCAGCTGGCCATATCACACCGAACGACTTGTTACACCTTGCTGGACACAAGTTATATGCTCCTATTATTTCCTCAAGTTCTTGTGATTAACAGTGGAAGTGTCCTATACATACAGGTGCTGATCTCAGATATCTGCTGCATTGTTTCTATAAACCGGTAGAGGACGCTGCACATAGTGTTTTAAAGATGGCAGAAAAACGTGACAAAAGACACATTTAAGATTTAGATAATCGGGCAAAATTAAGACAAACCTTATAATGTGTGAATTGTTGTCGTTATAAAATAAATGTTTATTTGTTTATTTGATGATGGTAGTTGGCAATCTAATCAGGATATCGAATGTCAACATCGCTTTTGTGTTTCCGTTGCGTTTGTTTTGACCTTCGACCCTCCGATAGAGAGACGAGGAAGATTTGTCGTGATTTTGTTCCTCCCAAAAAGGTAAGAAGACTGTGTGACTTGTAGAGCCATCTTTACCGCCCAGGGACCAGCTAACATGTGCTGAACCATCTAGGTCAATAGCTACAAGCTCATCTTCAAATTGCCTGAAAAATCTTAATGATCATAATATTTTTTTTATGCATGCGAGGGGGGGGCATAAAAGACAAAACATGTGGCTAAAAAGGCACAAAATAACGTATATATTGAAAAAGAGAGAAAAACTGATAGGTGTTAAATGACCTCATTTACATAATCAAGGAGAAAATGCGAATAACAACATGGAAATTGACGGGAATTTCGTACTTTAGTATGAGTCATTTGGATCACTGTGGCCTCATTAGCATAATTGATTAACTGTGTTTGTTAAATAGATTATGCTACAGTAGCCTGACAGCCTTATTTGCTAAGATAATACATTAATAGTTTTGACAGCTTGTGTGATTTGAGTGTAGAAGATTATCAAGTTGGGACTTGAAATACTGTGTACACATACCTTAGTGGGGCCCGCATGCCCTTTTCCGTAGAGCGTAATCAGCCATTTTAATTCTACGTAGTCGTAGAGCATAGACAGACCGCTCTAATTCAACGTAGAGCATAATTGGTGGATATTGCGTAGAGTGTAATTCGCGTTTTAATTCTACATAATGCATTGTAGCCACTTGGAATTTATCGTAAAGCGTAATCGCTGCTGTAGCGTAATACATAGCTGGCTCTCAAAATTTAGCTTAGAGTGTTGTCGGGACCCCCCCATGCAGGCCCACCTTTGTGCAGGTAAAATTTATTCACGACATACAGTTCGGCGTTCTGACAACGCCAAATTTTGAGAGCTGGCTACATATTTCAGAAGCCTCTCGATTACGCTTTACAATAAATTCCAAGTGGCTACAACGCATTACGTAGAATTAAAATGGCGAATACGCTCTGCGCAAAATGCGCCAACTACGCTCTACGTTGAATTAGAGCGGTCCATCTACACTCTACATAGAATTAAAATGGTCGATTGCGCTCTATGCAAAAGTGGCATGCAGGCCCCCATATGGACCTTTAGTGCTAATCTCCAAGCAGATCATACGGTGGCAAGGCAGTATCCATTGGCCAGAGGAGTGTCCATTAGTCACCGATGTATATATTATTTATTGCATTGACCTCTGACCCTCAAACAATCTCTTACCTCATTAGTTTGTTGTATATAGAATAGGATGGGTTAAGTTAAGTAATAGTTAAGTAATAGCTAGGTACAGGTTGTTGTATTTTATGTGTGGCAACAAGCAAGTGTATATACGTTTGTGTTATAAGTTTGTAAAATGTTTTTAAGACTCCAGGAAGAATAGTGAGTATATGCGTATGCTTATACTCACTAATGGAGATCCTTCAAATAAACAAATAAACATAAACCGATGGCCAATTGATACTGTCTTGCCACCTTAAGGTCTTCTTGGAGATCACTTAGTGCAAGTGAAATTTATTTACGACATACAGTTCTGTACACAAGGACTTGTGTATTCTAGCTTCATGTATTCTAAGTCCATGGTATCACTGATCAACTGTGATGCTATTAAAAAAAGATTGATCTCTTCATGAGTACTCTCTCTTGGGCTTTTTGTCAGGAACATGGAAGGAGGTTCAAATTCAAAAGAGGTGAAAAATGAAGAAGAAGAAGTTCTTCCTAGTCATAAGGATTCCTGGGAGTGTGGCAGTGGTGAGACAGAGACACAACCTGAAACACACCAACATCAACATGCACACCTAGAGGCACACCAAGGCACAGAGGAGACTGATCTGTACCTGTACACCATCATTCACTTTCAGGAAGATGCAGGTATGTACTGTTCACCTTGAACTAAAGGTTCGTGGCGTCGTGTGGTGTAGTGGTACATCACTGGACTATGAAACAGGGAGACCCGGGTTCGATTCCGGGTCGTACCCGAACAAGTCCAAACATGCGCCGCGACGTTGTACCCTTGGGAAAGGTACTTTACACGACTTTCCTCACTTCACTCAGGTGAAAATGAGTACCTAGCTTCGGCTAGGGACGTCCCTCGGATAGGACGTTAAATGGAGGTCCCGTGTTTGGGAGAGCCACACCCCACGCACGTTAAAGAACCCACCACACTTATCGAAAAGAGTAGGGGACCTTCCCGGTGTGAGTGGGTCAAACATTACAGTCTGGTCTCAGGTTTGACATCTTTGAAGAGGTGATAGTCACCTGTTATGTCAATCCTTCCACAAATGTGGTAAATCTTCATAAATAAATAAAGGCATCCAATGCAATTTCAGGGCGACAAAACTGAATTTTCATAGTCTATTTTCTGGTCATTCTATTAATATACTCATTTGAAATGATGATAAGCAAGTTGAATCAGTTCTATCCCATAGCATACTGATATCTGTGAAGCAAAACTGTGATGTCATTCGACTGATAGAAAACAGTTACTTGTTTGGTATTGTAGGGTGGTTTTAGTTATTATCTATGGGCAGTAACCAATAAAATTAAGAGATGCCTCACAAAGCTTGTGTAATAGTAAGACAGATTTCTTCGTCCAGATTATTTTTCAAAATTGTACCTTGAAGTTGAATGCCTTTTAAAATTGAATGGCTTTTATAAAAAGTTGAATGTCTTTTACAATTGAATGGATTTTTAAAAAGTTGAATGCCTTTTACAATTAAATGGATTTAAAAAAAGTTGAATGCCTTTTACAATTGAATGGATTTTAAAAAAGTTGAATGCCTTTTACAATTGAATGGCTTTCAAAAAAAGTTGAATGCCTTTTAAAATTGAATGACTTTAAAAAAAGTACATCTAGAATAGGAAGAAGCTCATTGTTGAATGCTGAAAGTGGGAGTGTTTCGGGCATGCTACCGCAGGAAATTTTGTACCTCTTTTTACTAATTTTAGCTTTCTGAAATGCTATTTTCCACATTTTAAGGGGTAATTTTTTATGGGTTCAAAATGCATTTCCATTGTCAATGTTATTTCCATAGATGGTGAAGAAATGGAGACCATAGAAGACCCTGAATCTGTGGAGGATGCCGAATGTGGGACTACTGAACTCCAGTGTGACCCCGTGTCCCAGAGTGAGGCTGAGGTGACCCCTGACCCGGACACGCCCCCAGACGCGGAGGTCCGCCCACCGGTTCAGTTCCACTGTGCAGATTGTGATTTCAAGTACGTCATTGGTTTCTATCTGACAGGGTTTTAAAGCGATATTAGGCCACACCAATTTAATTTCTTGGTTAACGGACGGGCAAAAAAAAATAAAAATAAAAACAGGCCTAGGCATCCTATTATGGCCCAAAATGGTACAATAGGAGCCATGAAGTCAACACACCAGGCTGGTTCAAAATTTAAACAATGAATTTTGAACTTTTAATGATACCACTGCATTGAAAGATGGAATAACTGTAACAACTAGGAAGAAAAGGACTGTTTTCAATTGTTCAGGGCAAAATGTGAGCATTTTGCAGTTGATTCTGAATTTTTATTTTTATTTGCAAATCAGGAAAAAATGAAGCGGGGGCGAACCCGTTAACCAAGAAATTAAATTGGTGTGGCCTTATGTAAGATTTTTGCACCAAAACTGTAAATATAAACTAAAAAGGTAACATTTTGAAAACAAATGCACAATGTTTACCTTCGCATGTGGTCTACTCTGTTAATTCTACATTCACATATATGGTGACAGATGTCTAAATCCCTCCTGCTATGAAATTGCAACATGATGTAACCCAACACCTGTTACCATGGTGATAGACTGTCTGGTTCAGGTCATTGACCTTTTGTGTTTGGAGAAGAGGAAACTGAGCAAAAACAAGTTTGGTAAACATGATAATTGAAATTTTCTCATCTAGATTGTCATTTTCAATAACTTTCAACATATTAATATCGCTATTTCGCTTTTCTGGCAACTCAGTGCAGCGCAAGAATAAGTTGCGCCAGGTCTGCTGTATTTTTAGGAGGTTCCTAAAAAGAATGTAAACAAACAACATGGCCGCGATCCATGCTAGCGGCAAGGAGTTGGCAGTTTTCCAACACGTTTTTGCGGTGCAACGACGTTCTTTTACTTCGAAAATGTCATTGTGAACCCAGGTAGGATTATTGCACAAGAAAATGTGTAAAACAACAATGTTTAAAATAATGAAAATCTTACATAATATCGCTTTAATCATCACAAGTCAAATAACAATCTTCACTCACTCACTTCACTGTCCAGGATTTCACTTCACAAATAAGGTCACGTGTTTGTAAACCGTAACTCTCGCGAGATCACGTTGTGAAGTGATTGGTCATTTATTATCCTGATGAAGGTGACAGTGGTCGCTGAAAATTTGATCTCTGTGTAAATTGTGTGTTGGAATAAATGTGTACAACATTTTACTATGATTAGGCCACAGCAAGTAATTTTTATGGATGACATCAGCGCGCGCATTGATTTTCACCAAAAAAAAAAACAAGAAATTTTGTAGCCTTCTGACAGTGGTCAACATGCCGAAAATGGGCAAAGATGTCTGTTGCCATGCCGGAAGGTGGATGGCAGATAACTATGAAGAGATGAGACAAGAAAAGGCTCTGATTTAATGTTTTGTTTCTTACTTTGATGCAGTGATATGTGATGTTGGCTGTGTATATGTGATGTTCCCACTGAATACAAACCATTTGTACAATGATTGAGTCAAAATTTTAAAATGTAGGAACCTTGTTTTTTTCGGCCCGCCTTGTTTTTTTTTCGCCCGCACGCATTAGATTTGGAGTCTGCGGAGGATGTCATCCATAAAATTTACTTGCTGTGGCCTTACTACCAACACAGATGAACTTTTATGATGTTCTGATCCGTGTATGTTGTCCCTGCTTTTTGCTTACAGAAGTACTATACGTTCCAAAATGGAGGGTCATATCAAAGATCAAGACCACAGCTATGGTTGCGGAGGGTGCGCCTTCAAGTCCAAGTGGAACCGCAGCTGGCGCAAACACATGCAGCGGAAACACGGGATGCTCAAACGGAGCGTCTACCACCAGCTCATGTACCAATGCGGGGAATGCGGCTACACCACCAAAGCGCGTAAAGCCATCAACATGCACATTCGCAAGCATTCCGGCGAGCGTCCATTCAAATGCAGCCAGTGTAACTACGCCGCGAAAGACAAGAGCACACTCCGGAGGCACAGCAAGTGTCACGGTGGCGGCGGACGGTTTACGTGCGAGATCTGTAACTTCTCTACCTCACAGAAAACCACACTGGGAAAACACATGAAAAGTCACAACGTAGGGGACAGGTATCCGTGTATGTTCTGTCACTTTGTGACCAGAGTAGAGAGCGATCTTGCCATCCACGTAAGAGAGAGCCATCCGCCGAGTATTTATCAGTGTCCGCACTGTGCGTACTCCACCGCTCTTCTTGCCAACTTCAGTAGGCACATGAGGAAACACACGGGGGTTAAACCCTTTAAGTGCGATGTGTGTAACTACGCCACCGCCGTTCAGAGCAACCTGGTCAGGCACAAACGTACGCACACCAACGAAAAACCATTCATGTGCAAGGAGTGCAGCTATGCGACTTCCGTACAGAGCAACTTGGTGCGCCATGTGAACACGCAGCACATGGACGTGATGCTGTACCACTGCAACCACTGCGGTTACTCGTCTAACTTCCGTGGAAACATGATCCGACACTTGTCCGCCCAGCATTCCAAGAAAGTCTGTAAGGAAGCGGACTCTAGCACGGGCGCCGTCTCTTCTAGTGCAGAAGACAGAAACACAGGAGACCAAACAGCCGGCCCGAGCTCTAGTCCCGAACAGCGGTACACCTACGTCCAAGTGGAAGCATCGGGTACCGTTGGTTACCGCGATGGCGGTTCCACCGCGTCGAGTTTCGCGGGAGAAGAGGAGGGAGAACGAGTTCACGTCGTTCACCTTCAAGAAGGACAAGAAACGGGTCACATCGAGAGCGTGGAGACAACAGAAGCGCCGGGTTCAAGCGCGGAAGAGTCGCACGGAGACTTACAAGTGATACAAACGGAAGACGGGCACCTCCTCGCGGTGGACCCGTCCTTCGTACGAAACATCGCGGAGGGGAAACAGGTGCACATCCTGGTGCGCGACCACCACGCATCCCGCAATGCCGAGGGCATGGAACAGGAAGTGGAAGATACCATTTCTGAGGAAGATGAGGGGAAGACAAACACACCACCTGATGACCCTCCTATTTCAACAGAAACTGCAGAAGAAAAATGAAGTTGGACTGAATGCTTTTTAGATACGGATATGTCTGTGCTAATAAATCATGAAAAAAAATAAGTCTATAGAAAGGCAAAGATATGAACTTGTCATAACGATATACATTGTACATGTGTGGAAAGGAATAAAGATCTATGATGAGAAATTTTGAATAGAGCAGTTGTAAGTTGTCCCTGAGTAGATACTAGTGATGTAAACGTTGGGCAGGAATAAGAAAATTCTTGCTTGTATTATCAGGGTCAAAAGTGACTTTCTTTGTTGTATTTCTGTAGTAAGATATCAAACTAACCGACATCTCACACACATGAAACCTGTGAGATTCTGTGCACATAGACATTATAAACGAACACTATGTATGAGAACATTTAGGCAATAAAATGTCGGGTGTACCGTTGGACACAAGATTTCTTGCACGACACTGTTGTCTGAGGACCTGCACTTTTTCAATTGGCCGCTATGCGGCGCTGTGAGACTGCTTTAGTGGTCGAGGCTTGCACCTTTCAGTCGACAGAGATCGCTATTGTTTGCAAGCGGGTAAAAAGGATATACCGTCGCCCAAAGTGACTTAAATGTGCCTTCGTAATCACTATGGCAATTCTCTTGGACCAGAATTTCAAGTAAATCGTATAGCACCTCAAACAAAAAGGCAGTACTCCAAAAAAAACTTGCTACACTTGGTTTCCTCTCTTCAATACGGCATGTCCACATATTCACCTTGTTCAGTGGTGACTTCAGTTTATAGCAACTTATTGCCAATTTATAGACAACAGAAGGCCAAAAGAGCCTTTTATATAGTGGGTTCACGAGATAATGCATTTATTTGGAGATTGTTACATATTTGCCAACGAAGTCCAACCACCGATTAGACTATATACAGGCCTCAAAATTTACTTTTTTCTTATTGTCCCAGCACTGTCCCGAAAATAAATTTCAATTGTCCCGAAGTGAGGTTGAACTGTCCGAAAACCTGTTTTTCGGGACGTATGTATGACAACAATTTGTAGTCAACTTTATTTTGCTTACGTTCTGACTCCCAGACGCACTATAAATTATAATTCCAGAGTAGACAAGAAATTTGGGGGCTTTTCCGAGCCAAAAGCCGGGACACGTTCCTGATGGACAAAAGTAGGGCTGACATTCTGATGTTGATTATTTTTCTTTTGTCCCTCAAATGTCCCAAAGTGACTTTTCAGTTGTCCCAGCCTAAATTTTAGTGGCCATTGGGACACTGTTAATTTCGAGCCCTGCTATAGAAGAACTTTATTGACACAACAAAAGTACAGCGACTTTCGTAAGGTCCAAGACATGTAGATATACAGACAAATATACATGGGTACAACGAAATTATCCTACGTACAAAACAATAGATGGGTCAACTAATACTTCTTGTTCTAAGGTCTAAACATTCTTTGATATATTTACCTATTTGTACACAGTAAGGGTTTTTACCTTCTAGAATGAAATTAAATTTATCTATAGCATGAAATGTAACGAATTCTGTTGAGCAGGCGGAGAGAAGGTTGAACAGCTTTCTGCGTTTATCGTTATATAGTGTACAATTCAAAATAAAATGTTGTTCGTCTTCAATATCATTGGGACAGAATGGACAAAACCTCTGGTCGCTATATAGCATTTGCTACTACTCGTTGCGTGCCATGTCATAATTAGTCCTTGGAGTATTGAAGACGTGCGTGCGACATGTCAATGAAAGTGACATTCGATAAAACTACGACACGAAAAGCTGTCACCGTAGACGGTGTGGGGGACTTTTTAATGACGGGAGACCGGCCAGGGGTCGGCCGGGGGCACAGCTGCGGGAAGCTGGGCGGGGAGAGATGTCACGTTTCCCCGCCCGCCCGATCCCGAATGGCCCTGGGGACAGGCACCGGCACTGGCAACTCGAAACCTCGAGCGGTTGCCAAGTTTACTTTATACGAGTTTGGATGGTTTATGGTAGATTTTAGAGCCGGGTCCTAACAGAGAGGAGCCGGCAAGTCGAACGGTTTTGATCCAGCTAACATATGATAATGTTCCTTTAAAGAATTCTGAGATGCTAACTGAACACAATAGCACACAAATACGCGTACGTCTCTTCTCTTTCCTCTGATGGAGAAAAAAAGGCTTGGTCACACATGTCTTATAGCCTCTGCCAGGCTTCGGGAGGCGGCTGGGAAGAGTAGAAATTGACCAAAATAGACAGATAACATGCCGGGGGAGTTGGTCCGCTAGAAAAGTACAGTTCGGGTGCAGCAAAACTGTACTTTTCTACCGGACCAACTCCCCCGGCATGTTATCTCTCTATTACCTTCCGAAGCCTGGCAGAGGCTAACATTCGTACTAGAACGTCGTGCGGTTTTCAGGTCGTAGAGTTGTAAAGCAGACTGTGACAGAACCAACTGCAAACAAGCATCAAAGACAACCGTTATACCGTGACAAGACGGCTGAATTTTGTGCGACAGGAATATGCCTCATGATTGTAGAGGTTTACAGTTTAAACTTTTGGTCCAACACAAATAAGTTCTCTCACCTAGAGCACTTGACACTGTAAGGATTTTGGACACTAAACAAGACTATTTCTTGAGAGGGGTGAAGGAAGCCATATACATCAGGGCCCATCACCTTTCATTGAACCGCGACGGGGGCCGACATCGTCTACCAGATACCTTTGACCTAGTGTTGACGTCACACTTCAAACAAAGAAGCCACGTGACAAGCTTCACTGGGTCAGTCTACTGAGGAAGACCAGAGTGACTGGTCGAAAGCTCTAGGTGAGAGAACTTTTTGTGTTAGACCAAAAGTTTTAACTCTAAACATGTAAACTACCAACACAGATGAACTTTCATGATAACTCGGTAACGAGTTGGCCCTCTGTTCTTAACTCAGTACACATTCACAATTTAAATGGTTGGGCGAAGGATAACAGCTGGGATAACTTGTTTTCCCATGTGTCACTATGAAACAAGGAACCAGAAAACAACAATTTGGACCAAATAACTGCCCACATTGTAGTACCTTGTATGTGACGACCTCATGCGGACAATAAAATTACTGCAGCCGTGCCTTTCGCGGGAAATGTTCTGCCGATCAGTCCGTGGAGACAACGCGCCAACAAACGTGCTAAATTCCGGGTACACAACCGGATACTTCGTCTGGTAGCCGGACAATTTCTCGTTGAAATATTTCAAATTTTCAATTGATTTAAATATCAAAACGTTCTCTTTTTTTCATCTACCTGTACAGAAAATACATTCAGCTCTTCCGAACTGACGTAGGCGCAGTGTCCCGTAATGTGGAGTAAATATCATATTTCAAATATTTCTGATTTTTCAACATTTACGTCTACGCACATGTATCTACACAGAATGTAATAAAAAATCATCAAAAAAACATCAAAGCCTAAAAAACTGCAATGGCTATAACTTAGTATAAGATTAGCACGAGTAAGTTCCCCGCATATTTTTCAACATCCAAATTTCCCGAAGCCAATGCTGGTTCAATACATTTCGTCTTGTTTGTTTGTTTGTTTGTTTGTTTGTTTGTTTGTTTGTTTGTTTGTATAAACGCCTGTACGTGTCCATTGTTACAGTGGTTGAGTTTTGTGTTTCTGTGTTTTCATTCAATTTCCCGAAGCCAATGCTGGTTCAATACATTTCTTCTTGTTTGTTTGTTAATGTGTTTGTTTGTTTGCTTGCTTGCTTGTTTGTTTATTTGTTTGTATAAACGCCCGTACGTGTCCATTGTTGCATTGGTTGAGTTTGTGTTTCTGCGCAGCGGTTCCCCATGGCACATGTATATACGGTTAAACCATTGTGTACATGAGGGGTTTTGTCTTGTTTGTTTGTTTGTTTGTTTGTTTGTTTGTTTGTATAAACGCCTGTTCGTGCCTATTGTTGCAGTGGTTGAGTTTGTGTTTCTGCGCAGCGGCTCACCGTGCCACACGTACATACGGTTAAACCATTGTGTACATGAGGGGTTGTTTTTAGCCTGACCATTCGGACATTGACCTGCATTGAATGCTTCCGTCACAGCGTCAACACACACGCGCTACCCTGGCTGTCTCCATGCTTTACGGTAATTTCGACATTTATATATTATCCCTACTTCGTGTCATGACAGTTGGTGTGTTTGGTGTACGCTTTTGCTGGCAACTCGTACTGACACGTAACTACATTGTAGTTGTGTCAAAAATTTCTCTATCCTACGCCTAGGCGGCTATGCCGTGCGCGCTTAATTGATGTTGAATCTAATAATAAACATCCTGATTTCTGTACAGTGGAATCTGTACGAGTGTCCACTTCTGCATAAGGAACAATCTGGCAACTGTTACCGGTTTTTGTAGGTTCCTTAGATTATATTTTTTCCCAATGATATATTATCAGTAGCTGTTAAGAATTGTGTCTATGGTGACCGCGCGTCCACTGTGAGCATTTTTTAGGTCCCTCAAGTAGTGACTATTCGCAGGTTTGGCTGTACTCAGGTGAAACTGTAGACTGCTTGGTTTGGTGGTTTAGAGGTCCCTGCTTTTGAACCAGAAGGTTGCGATTTTGGATCTTAAAGCTGTTGTTACCCTAGGCCTATACTAGTCCTACTGACTGGCACTAGCTCGCAAGGGCTGTAGTTCTGAATACTACACGTTAAACCGTGGTCCACTGTTCACATATTTGTTGACTCTGCCGAATCAGAGTGTGTGTGTGAGAGAGAGACAGAGAGAGAGACAGAGAGAGAGTGTGTGTGTGTGTGTGTGTGTGTGTGTGTGTGTGTTTATGTGTGGGTGGGTGTGGGTGGGTGCATGCGCGCGCGTGTGTATATACGCACTTGTCAATGTAGACAGAGGAAATCGTCCAAATAATCTCTAAATAACAACTTCTCAGCACAAAATCTGTAACTTAGAAGCAATACACGGGCGGAGAATGTGTGTATTGGAATTTTTCACCGATACATGTCGTACCCAGTCATGCCCCACACTTGTAACGTCCCTTCAACTTCAACTTGTCAAACCAATAACATCATGTTTCCATCTA